AGCGAATCGCGGCGCCTTAGATGACTGGGCCACCCGTGCCCCCTAAGAAATTAAGACACTTACAAATAACACCATACTATATCACTAATCTCTGTGTTTTGTGTAATTTCTCATACTTTCGTGGGTATCAAACTGCGGGTTCTTCAAGATAATGAGCTCATGTTCCCATTATGATTTACAGCAACACGTCATTAATTAATGTGACCCTGGCAGCTGACCCGCCTGTTTCAACTTTGATTAATGGGACATGGTGCAACCTTGTTCTGTTGGGTGCAACTAGGTTTTCGTGTCCACATGCTCCTGGTGCAACTAGGTTTTCATGTCATCATCATCACCATCATCATCACCACCATCATCATCACCACCACCACCACCATCATCATCATCATCATCATCATCATCACCACCATCGTCATCATCATCATCATCATCATCATCATCACCACCATCATCATCACCATCACCATCATCATCACCACGATCATCACCATCATCATCACCACCATCATCATCACCACCACCACCATCATCATCACCACCACCATCATCATCATCACCACCATTATCATCACCATCATCATCATCATCATCATCACCACGATCATCATCATCACCACGATCATCATCATCACCACCATCATCATCACCACCACCATCATCATCATCACCACCATTATCATCACCATCATCATCATCATCATCATCACCACGATCATCATCATCACCACGATCATCATCATCACCACCATCATCATCATCATCATCATCATCATTGATCATCATCATCAAAGTCAAGTTATATATATCTCACATTACTCCACAATGCATGCTCAATCACAGTGAGAAAAGTTAATCTTGAAAGGCGATCAGGAACTGACACGTTCTCAGGTGAGATTTGAAGAGTGATAAGCTTGGTGAATGTCTCAATTATTCCACTCTGTGGCGGCAGTGGCGGCAGTGAATGAGATGGACCCATAACAAAACACACACACTTGAAAGTCCAACTTTTTTTCTAAGATAAATAAATGTCTCCACAATTGGGTACACATTACAAAACTGATCCATTAAGGGAGCTGTAAATTCTAATACCATAAAAACATTCAGTCTAAAAGATCAAATTTTAAAAGATTAAATGTTATTCAATGACATCCTTATTTGAAATGTTTTTGACATCATACAGTTTAGCCTATTTACATTCCGGCTAAATTTTGTCGTAAGATAATAAACTTCACATGGAACGCTGAAGCTGAACATTAAGTTTAATTACTCTCAATCTTAATCATGAACTATGAAAATAACCAAAGATTTTTAACATGAGATTAAAATATTTTAACAAGTTTCAAAGAATACATGTAAATCTGACCTAGGTTTCAAACAAATAAAGATTTCTACATTAAAATTATTTTGCAAATGTATTCTATGTATTTATAAACTTAATGTAAATAGCTTCTGAAAATGGGAAAGTAAACAGCTTTAAATGTAGGCTACAGCTAAACTAACACAGGGATACTGCATCAAATATACACAACTTGAGTGGATGACCATCTATAATAAAGTCAGCAACATACCAGTTTATTATTATTAATTATTAAACTACACATTTATATACCACAGGTATCCAGGTACTAGTATCTGCTCAAATGCGGTTTTATTTGTTCCCCGACCAAGGATTCATTTGCATTCCAGTTATCATTTATATCATTTATATCATAGTCACCAATATACTATTTATATCATAGTCACCAATATACCATTTATATCATAGTCAGCAATATACCATTTATATCATAGTCAGCAATATACCATTTATATCATAGTAAGAAATATACTATTTATATCATAGTCAGCAATATACCATTTATATCATAGCCAGTAATATACTATTTATATCATAGTCAGCAATATACCATTTATATCATAGTAAGAAATATACTATTTATATCATAGTCAGCAATATACCATTTATATCATAGTAAGAAATATACCATTTATATCATAGTCAACAATATACTATTTATATCATAGTCAGCAATATACCATATTTATATCATAGTCAGCAATGTACTATTTATATTGGAGTCAGCAATATACCATTTATATCATAGTCAGCAATATACCATTTATATCATAGTAAGAAATATACTATTTATATCATAGTCAGCAATATACCATTTATATCATAGCCAGTAATATACTATTTATATCATAGTCAGCAATATACCATTTATATCATAGTAAGAAATATACTATTTATATCATAGTCAGCAATATACCATTTATATCATAGTAAGAAATATACCATTTATATCATAGTCAACAATATACTATTTATATCATAGTCAGCAATATACCATATTTATATCATAGTCAGCAATGTACTATTTATATTGGAGTCAGCAATATACCATATATGTCACAGTTAGCAATATATATCCCCTACATCTCAGTAATCAGTTATATCCCACTCAGCAAGTATGTTAAAACATTTGAAAATGCTACCCTTTGTCAAATGCAATGTTTTTCAGAACGGAGAATTTTTTGTGAGGCGCAATTGTTTTCGATGGAATGTGGAGTGATTCAGTGCAAATAAGGCAATTGCACAACAAAACGTTTGGCAAGCACAAAATTAACAAGATAGTTTAAACTTTTTTCCAATTTTGTAACAGGATTTCAAGCCACTGTTTACACGAGCTCGTATGTCAAATAATCACAAGGCCGAAAATTCTACATGTCCATAGTCGGTTCTACTTAGAGACCCAGGACGAAAACACTGCATATTGATTTTACTTGCAATTCAAGAAAAGTTTCAAAAGCTTACATTTTAACACTTTGTTTCCTTTCCTTCCCCAGCAACTATTCCTTTAAAAGCAAAATACTTAAGTTCAGATAAATAAAACACCCACTGATGGTTGATGATGTCCGTCATGCATTTTTTTCGATTGTTTTTCCACTGTCTGGGTTTGGGTGTGCAAAAAACGTCACAACAAATACAGACATAATAAAATTTAAATTTTCCACTGATGTGACAAATTGATTTCGTGATTTTTTTCTCTAGGGAGACTCCTGCCTATGTAATCTCGTCTCCGTTTGTCTGGTGAAAAATCTCCTATTCTATTTATCGTCTGCGCCTCCCGTGTGTCTCATTGCGCTATAATGAAGGATGGAGTGCCTGGAGAACCACGCAGACTAACTTGCTGCTCTAACATGGGTGGCTGAGTGGCGAGAGGTGTGCAGTATCGTTGTCACCTAACTATTTTACTGAAAATAATAATAATAAAAATGTGTTGCATGTAAAATGATGTACAACTATCCTGAAACATCGACACCCAAAATTAAACTTCCTTAGCTGAAAAAGACCTCGTTAGAGTGAGCGGCAGGGCGAGTGGCAGGGCGAGTGGCAGGGTGAGTGAGTGAGTGGCTGAGTGAGTGAGTGAGTGAGTGAGTGGTTGTTTGGGTGAGAGAGTGAGTGAGTGAGTGGGTGTTTGGGTGAGTGAGTGAGTGAGTGGGTGGGTGGGTGGGTTGGTGGGTGGGGGGATGGGTGAGTGAGTGAGTGAGTGAGTGGGTGGGTGGGGGGGATGGGTGAGTGAGTGAGTGAGTGAGTGAGTGGGTGAGTGAGTGAGTGGGTGTTTGGGTGAGTGAGTGAGTGAGTGAGTGAGTGAGTGGGTGGGTGGGTGGGTGGGTGGGTGGGGGGATGGGTGAGTGGGTGAGTGAGTGAGTGAGTGAACAAGTGAGTGAGTGAGTGAGTGAGTGGGTGGGTGGGTGGGTGGGGGGATGGGTGAGTGAGTGAGTGAGTGAGTGAGTGAGTGAGTGTTTTCAACACATCAATAGTGTGCCAGGGGGTAACTTGAAATCCAAAATCATCTAGATGCTGTTCATAAGAATGTGTAGAAAAATTCTCAAATTCTTGTCTGCATAGAGTTAACTTTCCAAATGTAAACTTGAGTCTTCACTAGATATCGCTGTGTCAAGTAATCAGCAATTTCTCACTGCCATTTATCCCATTTCCATCCCTGTAAACAACATTATCCGGAACTTCACATATAAGCGACGCTCCATGGCCGGCTGCAATGAGGCTATCCGGAATCAGATTGACTGTGAGACAAAACTAATCGGCCCCCTCCCTGACAACCAACATGATCTAGACTTACTCCTCGTCTGTGATTAGCATTATCTAGACTTACTGCTTGTCTGGGATTAGCATGATCTAGACCTACTCCTTGTCTGTGATAAGCATGTTCTAGACTTACTCCTTGTCTGCGATTAGCATGATCTAGACTTACTGCTTTTCTGTGATTAGCATGATCTAGACTTACTCCTTGTCTGTGAATAGCATGATCTAGACTTACTGCTTGTCTGTGACTAGCATGATCTAGACTTACTCCTTGTCTGTGACAAGCATGAACTAGACCTACTCCTTGTCGGTGATAAGCATGTTCTAGACTTACTCCTTGTCTGCGATTAGCATGTTCTAGACTTACTCCTTGTCTGTGATTAGCATGATCTAGACCTACTCCTTGTCTGTGAATAGCATGATCTAGACTTACCGCTTTTCTGTGATTAGCATGATCTAGACTTACTCCTTGTCTGTGAATAGCATGATATAGACCTACTCCTTGTCTGTGACTAGCATGATCTAGACTTACTCCTTGTCTGTGACTAGTATGATCTAGACTTACTGCTTGTCTGTGACTAGCATGATCTAGACTTACTCCTTGTCTGTGATTAGCATGATCTAGACTTACTCCTTGTCTGTGACTAGCATGATCTAGACTTACTCCTGGTCTGTGACAAGCATGATCTAGACTTACTCCTGGTCTGTGACAAGCATGATCTAGACAATCAAGTGATTGATATTGTGAACAACAATCCACGCCTTCGGGATATGATGATATACCATCAGCCAAGTCACCAAGGCTGACCAACCAATCCATTTCGCCACTCTCTTACGACCAGCATAGGACGCTCGGGACCACAGGGGGTCAAGCCTAATCTAGACTTACTCTTTGTCTCGGACGTCTGGCAGACTTCTATGGAGCGAGATCATATCACTAGCATATTGGTTGTAGGCATTTTTCTGCCAACCATCGTCATACTTCTTCCGATCTGCAGGAGAGAGGTTGTCTTTGTTGATTGCCACGGGTTTTCCTTGCTCCCCTGTGAAACAGAAAACACACATTAGATCAAGCACACATGGACAGCGAGATTTGGGTTGTACTACACCGACGTTACTGCAGGGGAACCAAGCATGGGCATGACCCATGTTGGGAATAGAACCCGGACCTCCGTCAAAACTTCACTTCTATGGAAGGAGCTGACCAATTGACTTTCTGTCCACCGAAAATAATTTTTCGGGGTATAATTAGGGTAAGGAGGAAAACAAACACAAAATACATTTTTTTCAGGAGTCTATTTTGGTTTGTTTTAAATCACAGACCATCCCCCTCTTTCAATAGTCATAGAAAAACAAATTTATGGAACTAGAAATACAAAAATTAATACTTAGGAGTTTTTGCTCACTCATTTTTGCAAACATCTGCAAAATGTAACAAATATAACACTGATCATTCAACCTGTGATAATCTGGGTATTCTCAGCCAATCAAATCTGTTGCACCGGTGCTCTATTGCCCAATCAGTATCACCCAATGAAGTGACAAAACAACAACAATATATTCTGCCCCAAGAACTTAGGATCATCGATTCAGCAATGACATATAGACTTACTATAGTCCATAAACAGTAAAATTGCTTTGTGGATTGAGGTCTGCAGGTCAAATTCATCCTCCGTTGTAATGGTCTTGCTCAAAGTGATCTACACAGGCTTGACAGCTTATTTCGTCAGGTTGTGATTAAAATAATTCAGCACATGTAATAAGCTCCCATAAACACCTCGTGCGGAATGTTGTGTGATACCAATCTGAAACTCTCCTTGTAGCCCAGGGCCTCATTCTATAAAGCGACTTTAACACTACGACTACCATAAGTCTAAGGAAGTTAATCTAGCACCAAGAACTCTTTGTAGAAAGAGGCCCTGTACTCCATCCTCACAAGACCTCCATCTTTCATTTCCTAAAGAGGAGGCTGATGTACGATATCCCGTAATTATGACCAATCATGAGATCAGGAACTTATGGGTGAAAAACCACATTCAGACTTTTCATTATACTTTAGTGAGTGAGTGAGTAGGGTTTTAAGTCGCTTTTAGCAATATTCCAGCAACATCACGGCGGGGGACACCAGAAATGGGCTCCACACATTGTACCCATGTCGGGAATCGAACCCGGGTCTTCAGCGTGACGAGCGAACGCTTTAACCACTGGGCTACCCGACAGCCCCTTCATTATACTTTAAAACTGCAGGATCTTAGAGACACATAAATACACTTCACAAGCTTATATTCATATTTATTATCGAGACACATGGCATCAACCATTATGACTCATTTTCCGACTTATAACTGTTATGTAATAATTGCAGTTTTTAGATGTAATGTCTGATGAACTGAACGTAGACATGTCTGCTGAAAGATTTTGAAATAATGTTTTTATTACATTACGAACTAAAAGAGGGAAAAATAAGATATTTTTGTACAGTCCGCACACATGGCGATCCTCACTGAAGTAAGTTGACATCAACGTCTTATGACGTCACAGCACAATTGTATCCTTGCACCCACAAGGTTCCTTTTCTCCTGGTGGGTCACAATTGTTGAATAATGCAATGAAACGTAACTAAATGACAGTCTTCAATACTGTAGCTGGTACAATAAGGCCTTACAGACCCTGATACAAATATATATCAAAAACAGCCCATGCAAGTCTATAATGTTTGGCAAGTCTAGATTACTGCAGAGAGTCTCTGGGCTCCCTTTTATTATATTTTGATTAAGATAATTGAACAACTGTTTTTTTCTGTACGACATGTTCATTTTAGAGACTAGATGTTAGTCTAGACAAGCTCGAGGATCTCCAGGCAGATGTTCTGTCCACAAAACTATGGAGGCGGTCAGCAATATGGATTAACCAAGATCCTTCATAGCAGTATAACAGTATGCTGTCTAACAAAAGAAACATCTGTACGCTCTGATATTAAACATTGAAAACCAAAGTCACAAAACCAATTACAATTCCAACGAAAAAAATACATTTTGTGCCACCTTAACATGTCCTTATGTAAACTAACTGGAGTGAACAAATATTGATTAATGGAGAACTACAGGATAGCAATGGACTAGCAAAATAATTTATTTCTAAACATAGCCGAGATATCTATCATGTTGATACCATGGCTTTCAGTGTACAACCCACCATTATAGAAGCTGAATACCCTTCTCATTGACAGACGTCATAGCTGCAGGTCTAAATGTCGAGGGAATGCATGAGAAAATGTCAGTGGAGCCAATTGCTTCAAGCTCTATCTACAGTACTTGAACAGAGTCTGTCTAACGCTTCACTGTATCGGCTGAAATAGCCCACAAATGTGACAATTAACAGACACAGCTTGTTATAAGACTTACACTGATGCAATCTTACAATATTTGGAATACTGGCAGTTGCCTCTCTGCAGCTGAAACCTGACACCATACATCTTCCGCAACCTTTTTGTGATAATCGTTGTGAAGACTTCAGAAACATGTTTGAATTTCAATAATATCAAGCAGAATACGAAAGAGCCATTTTGAAACTGGATGTCAATGAAATTCATTTTGAGGTCAAAAGCCTGATAACTATGAATCATAGCAGCTCATTTATAGGTCTTAAGGTTTATGGTGAAGGCAAAGCAATCAATGAGAGGAGTTAATTTATCCATGATATAGAGAACAGTTTCAAAGTCTACACAGTAGGCAAAGCATGAGTGATACATAAATACATCCAATGGAGAACAAATTTCAAGCTTAATGCTTAAAGTTTAATGTTTCCAGTCAGGAATAAGCAAACCAGTGGTTGATAGTATGAGCATCAATCCATGCAGTCAGGAAACGTTGACCCAAGAACAGCCAGGTCATACAATGTGGCCACCCTAGCTATTCTAATAAATCGTCTTGATCGACAGGCTCAATCACACATTCTACCCTGGAATCCCCATGTAAATCAAGGTAAAGTTAAATACGCTACTCGTTTATTCAACTCAGTTCTCTCTTATGTTAATCTATTCACATAAATACTTATTTCTTTTTGTAGCTACTTTTCTTGAACAATATCCAATTATCGAATTCGAATCTTGATCGAATCTGGACAAGACAATCCAGTGATTGATACCATGAGCATCCATCCACGCATTTGGGATACGATGGCATGCATCAACCAAGTCAGCGAGCCTGACCACCCGATCATGTTAGATGCCTCTTACAACAAGCATGTGTGTGTGTGTGTTTTGTGTGTGTGTTTTGTGTGTGTGTGTGTGTGTGTGTGTGTGTGTGTGTGTGTGTGTGTGTGTGTGTGTGTGTGTGTGTGTGTGTGTGCCTCCGCTTGGACAATGCCGATTTATAGTGCTAGGCCACTGAGATACCATGCCGCAGTTTAACATGAATACCCCACTCAGACACAGTATACTGACACCGAGCCGACCAGTCCTTGTTTTAGCCATGTTTGACATTTACACAGGAAAGAAAGCAACTCCTAGCAGACAGACAGACTTTTGTGTTTATTGTAGTACAGCTTTACGACTCAATTTTCAATCATCTCTATAAGGAAAAGTGTATTTCCTCTATACACAATGTGAGGATATTGCCAGCAATAAATCTGGGAGGTGACGGCCATGTTTCTGGGAGAAACCGAGAGCTTCCAGTTCCTGCCCACCTGTACAGCACATGGAAGTCCTACCGTATTCAACATAATCCAAGACTTTGTAAAACTGGCTTACAGATCCTGTAACATAATTGAACATAGGTGAGGTGAGGTGAAATGGGTTTAACGATGCGTCCAAGAGTATTGCACTTATATAGCGACGTGCATGCACGTGTGTCTGTGTGTGTGTGTGTGTGTGTGTGTGTGTGTGTGTGTGTGTGTGTGTAGCTGCTTGTACTAGTCCGGACTGATGCTGATTTATAGTTTGCTCAAACACAGTGTTGAATAATAATACTCATTTGAATAGTTAAAAAAATATTTAATTATTTTTTATTGATGCTCATTTAAATAAAATAATCAGTCTTAAAAGAATTCAGTGACTGAACACAGGATCATACACCTAGTCTGGCTGTGGTCTCATGAGTCCATCCTTACTTTACAAATGCTTTATAATGTTTTTGAGGCCAGACGATCCCTAGGGACAGCGAGGGCAGAAATTATTCTGACTATGGTAACACGAATTGTGGTTTATGTGTTCATAATTTAATGCATTTACTTTAAGTTTCTTACATACACTGAACTGCATGCTGGGATAGGAATAACCTCAGGAAGGTCATCCAGATCACTGTAATTGAGGTGGGGTGGGGGGGGGTCCAGAAGTTGTCGGGGGGGATAGAAGGAGTTGTCGCCGCTGTTGGTAGACTTACAGCCTGGTCATCTTAGCCATTGAAAATTCAGCTGTCATAATCTGTTTATCAAAGTGAGTGAGTAAGTTGGGTTTAACGGCGCTTTTAACAGTATTCCTGTTATATCACAGCGTGTCAGCTTCATGTGGGAGGAAAGCCCGAAGTGATGCAATCCTCAGATGTTTACCACTTTGGTGAAACCCGCGAGCAAGTGTATGGTGCTGACAAACCTAGAAACATAATCGGGGCGAACTGGGATTTGAACCAACAATCATAGGGCTCTGGCATGCCCAAGGGACACAACTCTGCACAGCGAATCGCGGCGCCTTAGACGACTGTGCCCCCTGTTTATCAAAGAAATGCAAGTTAAGGTCCATAAATAGACAAATAGATTGCAATTCGAGAGAATTACCTGAGGACAGTGATTGCCAATACCAAAGCCCTGCTCAACACTGACTGTCCTGTGAAACTAACAGCTTGTATCAATGTACCAAATGTCCTTTAGGCAAAGTGAGTGAGTGATTATTGCTTAAGGCTGCATCAGCATTCTTGCAGCTGTTCATGGCTTCCGCTGTGACAAACACACTTTTGTCAATCTGTACACATCCTGTCCCCAAATCGATATCGTTGTATATATATCAATAATTACCCTCTAGCCAATACGTGAGTCGCATAAGAGCACA